ACTGTTACATACAGCACAAATACACAAAATATTACATACCTATTTATTATGCACATAAATGTATATAACGATTAGATAGACAAAAAAAAAGAAATAGAAGAAAAAAGAAATAAATAGAAAGAGAGCGAACGAGTGAGCCTTTTTATAAACGTCGACAAGCAATATATTATTATGTATGTATACATGTATGTGTGTATGTATATATACATATATATATTGCTTTATGATATATATTTATAATGTAAAGAGGCTAGAGAACTCATACTCACTATCTTTCTCTTTTTTTTTCTTCAGCTTTCTGTATCTGTTAATTTATTCATTATATCCATGTATGTGTATAACAAATAGATGTATATAATTAATGTTTATTTGTACTGTTTATAATGTTATATATATATATATATATATATATATTTTTTTTCTTTTGTCTATCTAATCGTTATATACATTTATGTGCATAATAAATAGGTATGTAATATTTTGTGTATTTGTGCTGTATGTAACAGTAATTCTGATATTGAATCAATTTTATGATATGACATAATACTAACCTTTTAAAACATGCTCCCTTTCTACTCAATCTGCGACCAGATAGGGGCAAACGTTTATTTTTGTTTGCACCCATTATACACTATATATTTAATAAATATAAAAATATCACTTTTAAAATATCACAGTATGTCTATCTATCACAATATTCGACACGTTATCACACGTTATAACGGTCGAGTCGCGCACTGCGTGTAAGCACGTATAGTACGTACCGCGTGACAAGTGAACCATCCCGCGCAAATATATGTTATTGCGCGCACACGATTTTGTTTACAAATATGTATATATAGGGTGTCTACATGCTACATTTTTAGCATGTACCCAATTTTTGTTATTTTTCGCAAAATTATAATTACACAATTATTTAATATAATTATATATAAAAAATTTTTCCCGCGTTGTATGTGTCGTAAGGAGATATATGTATAATTGATCGTTTGCATTGAATGTCACTATTTTCTGAAAAGTAAAAAAAGAGAGCTCTCTCTCTCTCTCTCTCTCTCTCTCTTTCTTGATCCTTTATGCTTATTGTTAGTATTCTATCAATTAGTAATCAATGCAATCAATCATATCGTTTTACGGCAACAGCCAGTTACTCGTTCACTCACTCATTCATTCTTTTAAAATATGTCCATTTTTATACATAATTATGTAAATTTATATATAAAAAATAAGGGTGCATATATAATCATGTCAAATTTGTATATAAAACATATATATTTATATATAAAAGAAATACTTATTTATTACACTTGTATATATATATATATATATATATTATATATATAAATTTATATAATTATATATAACAAGCACTTTTACTTAATTATGTATAGACATATTTCATAATATAATTCTGCGATTATACGTATACTTTTATATATTTCTATATAATGTTATATTATTATATACACAAATTTTGTCCCGGGGTATTTTAAACTTTTATTTTCTTTTTCTTTCCCCATTCTTGTCTGTCTTTACATGCATGTTATTATGTTGTATGTGTATCATGTATAATTTGGATTTGTATGTATGTTGAGAAGATTGGAATAGATAAAATTTATTACTTCATGTTTTTATATTATAAATGCAGCTTTTTGTAAATATCCGAAATAAATAATTTTTCTACAAATATTTTAAATTTATCAAAATATTTTTTACTGCACAATTAGACTAATATATTTTGCATTATTCTATCTTTATTAATTTATTTCATAATAAAATGGATTTTATTGAACAAATAATAAATAGTAAATAGAGAAAATATAAAATATCGAAAAGAATATATTCATATAAACATATATTTGTGAAATCGAAATTTTGTTAAAATTGACTTTCATAGAAATTGTATTTTATAAATTTAATAAAAAAAGCTGCATTTATCAGATAGAAACATAAAGTAATAAAATAATATATTCCAATCTTCTCACACACACACACACACACACACACACACACACACGCACACAACTTCTTATAACAAATGTTATATAAATTATACATATACAGGATGTAACAACGATCATATATCAAGAGTTTTTAGAAGAAAATACGTATTTTATTGAAAAATGTTTTATTACCAAAGTTATAAGGGTTACTTATCATTACATAGTAGTATTAGTATTATGTTGAATAGCATTATCAAAGTCACATAAAGATTATTTGGAAATAATGGAAACCCTCATTTTTTATTGCATGTACATACATGTAGCTTACTTTGAGAGCTTTTCTAAATAAATTTTTCATTCTGTGCATGCAATAAAAAATGAGGGTTTCCATTATTTCCAAATAATCTTTATGTGACTTTGATAATGCTATTCAACATAATACTAATACTACTATGTAATGATAAGTAACCCTTATAACTTTGGTAATAAAACATTTTTCAATAAAATACGTATTTTCTTCTAAAAACTCCTGATATATGATCGTTGTTACATCCTGTATATGTATAATTTATATAACATTTGTTATAAGAAGTTGTGTGCGTGTGTGTGTGTGTGTGTGTGTGTGTGTGTGTGTGTGTGTTGAGAGATTGGAATATATTATTTTATTACTTTATGTTTCTATCTGATAAATGCAGCTTTTTTAATTAAATTTATAAAATACAATTTCTATGAAAGTCAATTTTAACAAAATTTCGATTTCACAAATATATGTTTATATGAATATATTCTTTTCGATATTTTATATTTTCTCTATTTACTATTTATTATTTGTTCAATAAAATCCATTTTATTATGAAATAAATTAATAAAGATAGAATAATGCAAAATATATTAGTCTAATTGTGCAGTAAAAAATATTTTGATAAATTTAAAATATTTGTAGAAAAATTATTTATTTCGGATATTTACAAAAAGCTGCATTTATAATATAAAAACATGAAGTAATAAAATTTTATCTATTCCAATCTTCTCAACATACATACAAATCGAAATTATACATGATACACATACAACATAATAACATGCATGTAAAGACAGACAAGAATGGGGAAAGAAAAAGAAAATAAAAGTTTAAAATACCCCGGGACAAAAATTTGTGTATATAATAATATAACATTATATAGAAATATATAAAAGTATACGTATAATCGCAGAATTATATTATAAAATATGTCTATACATAATTAAGTAAAAGTGCTTGTTATATATAATTATATAAATTTATATATATATATATATATATATATATATATATATACAAGTGTAATAAATAAGTATTTCTTTATATATATAAATATAATGTTTTATATACAAATTTGACATGATTATATATGCACCCTTATTTTTTATATATAAATTTACATAATTATGTATAAAAATGGACATATTTTAAAAGAATGAATGAGTGAGTGAACGAGTAACTGGCTGTTGCCGTAAAACGATATGATTGATTGCATTGATTACTAATTGATAGAATACTAACAATAAGCATAAAGGATCAAGAAAGAGAGAGAGAGAGAGAGAGAGAGAGAGCTCTCTTTTTTTACTTTTCAGAAAATAGTGACATTCAATGCAAACGATCAATTATACATATATTTCCTTACGACACATACAACCCGGGAAAAAATTTTTTATATATAATTATATTAAAATAATTGTATAATTTTATACATATAATCGCAAAATTATATGTATAATTATACAATTATTTTATATAATTATATATAAAAAATTTTTCCCCGGCTGTACGTGTCGTAAAGAGATATACAATTCACCGTTTGCATTGAATGTCTCTATTTTCGGGAAAAAAAAAGCTCGCTCTCTCTCTCTCTCTCTCTCTCTCTCTCTCTCTCTGTCTCTCTCTTTTTGTTTTATAGATTGCATACAATTTATCTTACATTTACAGTAAAAGTAATTTTTATAACAATTTACAGGTATATGCGAACAAATAAAATTCGTTAGAATCACAATGTCTATCAAATATATATTTCAGTAAAATCATTACTCGAATTACTTCGATGTATGAAAAATAAGATTTAGTTTTTATAAATTATAAATGCATATACTTATTATCTATAAAAATCATGTGAATATTATTGTATTATACAAATATAATTAAAATAAAATTGTATGTCATTATATATTTTATGTGTTTGATAATATAAATAACACAAAATTTTTTCTGTTTTATATATAGTTTTTTATAGAAAAAAATTGATGTATTATTTATATTATCAAACATAAAATATATAATGGCATACATTGGCTACACTAATTCAGAGGTTATCTTTTTCCTTCCAATGTCGAACAAAAAAGACAACCTCTGAACTAATGTGGCCAGTGTAGCCAAAACGAACAGACCTTATAAAAAACAGAAAGAGAGAGAGCGAGAGAAAGAGAGAGAGAGAGAGAAACACGTTGCAGCTCCATCTATCACGATATCACGCAACTAATCTACTGCTCTGTTTTATTCCGCAGCCTCAATTTGCACACACACATATGCGTGAAATGTTTTTTTATATATAACTTTTTTATTAGACTTGCAATCTCACTTTTAATTGCTTACTAATATTTCTTCATATAATCCTTACCGCGCATACTATATTTCATGCACAGACAAACTGCAAAACTTTTTTTATTAAATAAGTATTATTACGAACTGACACAAAGCAGCCGATAACAAAACTGTAATTTTTGATTTTTATATGATTTATATATGCAAACATAGCTAGCGCGGTCCGTTTTTATAAGTACTTTAATCGTGGAAAAGGATTTATTGATCAGTAAAGTCAATAAAAAGTTATATGAAAAAAATAAATATTCTCGCATTCGGTCGGTAAAAACATCATTTAGGATCCCCTTAATATTTACTTGATTACTTATGAAGAAATATGTATTTTAAAAAAGGGAAATGCTCTTCTCGAAAGCAAAGAAAACATATTTAACTGTTTTCAAAAAATCCAATTAATTGAGAACATGCATCAATATATAGCTCTTGATAAAAATTTACAATTATATCCCCCGAAGATATGTCTAATACCTACGAAAGATAATCGTGTTGAAGAAATGTTAATAACTGCAGACAGCATTAAGGTGAACCTTCCGGAGCCGAATCTCAATGACGAATGTAAAAAGTACAATTTTATTTTTATATATAACATCTCTGTGAGTTATTTAAAATGTTTAGACAATGATCTCAACAAATTCGAGGAATTTCATGTCCAAACGTACGAACGGCAGTACGAATTCCAAAATTTGACGCAGTTGACAGAATACACGTTAAAGCTGGCATTGAGCAATTTTTACATCTACAAGATATCGATGGATTTGCAATTCGGCCCAGATGTAAAACTGATAACTACGGGCAAGCTCTATGCACCGGATGATGTAGTAGTTCAAGTTGTAATGCCAAATCTGGCGGTAATTGATTGGATGCCACCGAAAAAATTAAATTGCGTGGAAGTGAATTATGTGGTAAAATTGGTAGAATATCCACATAACACTCAAGAAAATCAAAATTCGGTTCGCTTCATAAAAGTCTTTAATAAGCTAGAACGTAAGACAAATGGCAAGTTTTTCGCGGTAATTCCGTCACTGATACCAAAGCAAAAATACGAGATATACGTGAGTGTGTATCCAATCATTCGGACAGATGTCGTCACTGACAGTGTAATAAAAACAGTCTACATGTCCGAACCAAATAATTTAAGTTTGAATGGGATCGATACAAACAGTATGAATATCTCGTGGATTCCAAGCGTTAATCTGACGATTCCTACTGAATTCCTTATACTAGAATACAAAAATGCTGCGTCACGAAAGAGGATATGGGAAATTGCGAATAATATTAAGGGGAATAATGATAAAATAACATATCACATAGAAAATTTATTGCCGCAAACTAAGTACAAATTTCGTTTGAACTTAAAATATACTGAATATAAAAAAAATTTCACATGGCCGTCTGATGGAAAAGAATTTATTTTTGAAACGCTCGGTAAGCAAATGAAGACGTTATGAAAACATAGATTTACTTTAAGAATGTCTTAAAAGTTTTTTCGCATTAGAAATTGAATAATGAAGTTTTAAGTAAAATGTCTTAATAATAATTGATTATTATGTGCATGAAGAACCGCCAGATAGAATTAAAAAAAAATTAATAAACACCCGACCAACCTGGCAAAAATTTATTAATTCACTTCACAACGTTTAGACCATGATTTAAATCCTTAACAAGTGATTTGCGAAATGTAGTTTAAATTTTAAGAAGTAAGCAAGTGAGTACATTGTGTAAAACTGACATCACGTTTTTGACATTACTTAGCTTAATTTCTTAAATTTTAACTACATTTCACAAATCACTTGCTAAGGACCTAAATCATGATCAAAACGTTGTGAAGTAAATTAATAACTTTGCCAAATTGGTCGAGAGAAGAGTGTTAGTATTTTATTTTTGAGAAATATGTGTCGACCAACTGGCAATTTATTAATCTTATTACATTTCAATCTTTCCTTGATGTCCATTTCAAGTAATGTAGTTCTTAGATATTATGATAAAATATCTTAAATAAAAAATCCGAAACGAAGAATTGTACTTTTATGTAACAAAGGTGATGCAAGAAAGATTCCTAGCGCAACTGGGACAGCTATGCAATATTATCTGCCATTAATATTATGTCTTATTGTAATCATTGTAATATACAATGTTTACTACTTTTATTGTAGTAAGTATATTTTATATAAATTTTGGATTTTTATTATAAATTGTTTAGATTTGGTATATAGATATACAAACATATAAAATTTGAAAAAGTCAGCATTATTTCTTAAAAAGAATTAAGATATTGCAATGCGGAGCATTATGTCGTGTATTAAAAGTTTTTTTATATGACAGCATACAGGCAACGCAAAAGAAGTAACGAAATAGTTTCGCCTCCAATAATGATCAATACGGAATTAGTACCTTTAAATGAAATATCTTTCGGGTGCACTCAACTAAATTTGCTGAACCCTCCTAGATTGCAATATAATTCAGACGAATTTGCGTTGACCATAATCGAAAAAAATCAAATTATCCAAACAAAGTTTTTAGGTAGCGGCGCATTTGGTAGTGTAGGTATCAATTTTTTATTACTTAAGTATATTTTTTATTTTTTAATCGTCCAAATTGATGGTCAAACATATTTTTAAATAAAAGTAATTGTTAAAATTAAAATTTCTCTGAAAAAAAGTCAAATAGGATAAACATTTTTAGCATACATTTTATCGATTTGTCTGTTAATTATGTAATATTTCACAGGTATATCAAGGAATCATAAAAAATTTTGAAGGGTTGGACACAACACCAGTTGCGATAAAAATGCTGAAAAGACAAGCTTCTTCGAAAGAAAAAAAGGAATTCTTGAAAGAGGCTAAACTTATGAGCCACATTCGACATAAAAATGTGATAAGAATATTAGGCATTTGTTTGAACACGAATTCACCGTTACTTATATTGGAATTAATAGAACCTGGTGACTTATTGAATTATTTAAGAAATAATGGAACATTGCAATCGTCAGATTCGTGCGCGTTGCGTCTGAAAGACTTGCTCGCCATGTGCGAAGATGTTGCTCGAGGCTGTTGTTACTTAGAAAGGCAGCAATTTGTGCATAGAGATCTCGCGTGTCGAAATTGCTTAATATCCGTAAAAAATCATGAAAACCGTATTGTGAAAATCGGCGACTTTGGACTAGCCAGAGATATTTACAAGGATCACTATTACCGTATGGTAAATACAATTACTTGAGAAAGCTAAAATTTTTTTTCTATTTTTTCATAATAATACAATTTTAAGCTGATTATAACGGTAAAAATAAATTATTTTTATTTGTATACCTATGAAGAAGGGAAAATGAGAGTTGATTGTATGCGCATAACGCTTGTTTCTAAATTTCTGAAGGAAGTTCGATAAAAATAACTTAATTGTGTTATATAATTGTGTTTTAGAAAGGAGACCACCCGCTTCCTGTTCGCTGGATGGCACCGGAATCTTTAGTGTTTGGAATATTTACTTCACAAAGCGATGTTTGGGCTTTCGGAGTACTAATGTGGGAAATTATGTCATTGGGTGAACATCCTTATCCTGGCAAAAATTATTCCGAAGTTATAGAATATGTGCGTGAGGGAGGCAAACTGCCAAAACCTCTCAACTGTCCACCGATGTTGTATCAGTTGATGCTACATTGTTGGAAATCTGTAATCGGTAGACCAAACTTTACAAATTGTCTCAAATATATCAAAATCTTAAGAGATAACATAGAAGATTCGATACTTATAATAAGTTCGTTGGATATTTTTGGACATGGAGAGACGAATCAATCGTAATTCTTTTTATGGGTATATATTTTTGTATAGAGTAATGAATTTTTGCGATTCTAGATAATATCTATTAAGAAATATTGCTTTTATTTACTTTTGCATACATTTTATAACATAGTGAATGTTACATTTAATCCTTTTTTTATTAATATTACAATTCAAGTTATGATCTTATTTACAATATGTAGAAATTTTACTATGTTTAATAAATTTTTTTAACTCACAGTTATATACAATACTGCAATCAAGTGGCATTTAAAATATAATTTGTAATTATTATAAATAATTTACGAAAAAAATGTTTTTTGCAAATTACATGTCAGAGATGTATACTAATAATATAAGTTTTTTTTTCAATTATGACTTAATTATCTATACATTGTTTTCTTTTACGATTGATGCAAGTAGAGATACTATGAGAGTTCTAACTCAGGGGCAATGAGGGGGGTGCGGGGCGGGGGGGGAATCGATGGCGAGGGGGGTGACGTCACGCGGGGGGAGGGGGTCTTATCAGTAGATAAGCTTATCTTTTGTTTATAAACATATCAGATAACCTGATAAGGGGATCATGTTACCTGATATATTTATAAACAAGATAAGATAAGGGGATCATGTTACCTGATATATTTATAAACAAGATAAGATAAGGGGATCATGTTACCTGATATGTTCATAAACAAGATAAGATAAGATAAGCGGCGTCTTTGAGCGGTATCAAAGTTTTCATAAACAAGATAAGATAAAAATTCTGCGAATGGCTGCCGCATTTCGAGCGCCGACAATCAGGGGGGAGGGTGGGGGGTGTTGCGTTTCTTCTCCTTATACGTTATCTGTATATTTCTAAGAAATATAATCAAATTCTAAGAAGGGCCACCGCTTGGCATACGCCGACAATCAGGGGGGGGGAAGGGGGGGGGGTTGCGTTTCTTCTCCTTATACGTTATCTGTATATTTCTAAGAAATATAATCAAATTCTAAGAAGGGCCACCGCTTGGCATACGCCGACAATCAAGGGGTTGATCCGCACAGGTTGCGACATGTCAATCCGATCCGGCATGTCAATCCAGGCTTGGATCTGACGGGGTGAAATTTATCTATGTATTTCTAAGAATTATCAGCGATATCTAAATTTTCTCCGAAGATATCACACAAATATTTCTCACGAATTAAACAATTGCATCATCATCCCCACGAACAAAGGGTTGATCGGGGATATATAATGAGGACCGATGCCGCTGCCGGGCCATAGTACCACTGGCGAGCGCATGCTTCATTCGAGGTGCAAGAAAAAAAGTTTAGTGTGCAAAGAAGTTTTTTTGTAATAAGTGTGAAAAAGTGAATTTTTTACAAAAATGGAGAACGTTGAGCGCGACCTGTTGGAGCGTTCCCGCCAAGTTGCTAACTTGGGCGAATATTTCGGATGGCTGCAAGAGTGCGAAGAATTTATCGAAGAGCTGGAAGAACGCAGCCGTGCCAAGCGTCCGCGTCTCTCGATTGGACATAGACAATCTCTGGTGGCGAGAATAGCGCGACTCGAGGGTGCGAAGGTGCGCTTGCAGAGACAGTATGTCGGTGAATCCATGTTTAGTGGTGGATCCATACCTAGTGGCAGCGGCGGCGGCAATAACGCGCAAAGACTCGTTTGGCGCGAAATCGATACGGCGTTCGATAGCCGTATACTGACCGGTGCGGTAATTAACGCAGACTATATCGAACCGCGTCAATTTTTGGAAAATGCCAAAGACATTATAGTCGAGAACGTGGAGAATGTGCTGCAAAGACACATCAGTGTAAAAGTGAACACTGTTTTCAACGGTGAATTTGTGTCCGGTGACAAGCGTGCCAATAAAAGTATTAATACGAGAAACTTTGAACTCTTTCGCACGTCCGATGTACGCGAGTGGTACGAGCGCCGCGTAATCGAGCCCACGCTAGCATCGCTAGAAGAGTTCCAGGAACGCGATAGCGGCTGGGCATTGTCGCGGATAATAGATTTGACAGTGAATGTAAATAAGTACAATCCAATGCGCGCGGGATGTCATGTCAAATTACCGCAAAAAATTATGGCAAAGAGAGCGGTGGTTAATGTGCAATCAGCGGACAATGCGTGTTTCGCATGGTCGGTGGTGGCCGCTCTTTACCCTGCTGAAATAAACACGGGTCGAGAATCCTCTTATCCACATTACACAACAGTGCTGAATCTCCAAAACATTGAGTTTCCAGTGACTGTGAATCAAATTAAAAAGTTTGAACTTGCAAACGACATCTCCGTGAATGTGTACATCATCGAGAACGAGAACATCGTCCCGTTGCGTCTTTCGGAAAAAAAGAAGGACAGGCACGTCAATCTGCTGTACGTGGAGGACGAACACGGGCATTTCGCGTGCATAAAAAATCTGTCTCGTCTCGTGAGCTCGCAACTGAGCAAACACACTGGTCAAAAATTTATTTGCGATCGGTAAGTATATAGTAAACTTAAATTATATTTAAAATATTTCTAATTAAATTTTTTATTTTTTATTTTTTTACAGATGCCTACATTATTTCTATTCTGAGGACCAGTTGCAGGCGCATATGGAAGATTGCGGGAAACTGAACGACTGCGCTATCCGGTTGCCGAGCGACAAGGACAAGTGGCTCAGCTTCGACAACTACACGAGGAAGGAGCGGCTGCCGTTTGTAGTGTACGCCGACCTCGAGTGTGTTTTGGCAAAGACCGAAGATGCCAAAAATCATCAACACCATCAAGTGTTCAGCATCGCATACTATGTACAGTGTTCGTACGACAGTTCGTTGTCCGCGTACAATTCCCGCCGTAGTGTCGATTGCGTCGCGTGGTTCGCCGAACAGCTTAAAAATTTAGCAATCCGCGTAAAAAATATTTTAACGACCAATGTCCCCATGGTAAATTTAACGCCTGACGAGTGGTTAAAATTTCGCACCGCGACGCATTGTCACATTTGTGAAAAACCGTTTGACGAAGACGATACACGAGTCCGCGATCATTGCCACCTCACCGGGCGGTACAGGGGTCCCGCGCACTCAAATTGTAACTTAAATTACAAAGAATCATTTTGTATTCCTATAGTCTTTCACAATCTGTCCGGCTACGACGCGCATTTCATTATCGAGGACATAGCCACAGCGTTCGAAGGGGAAATCGAATTATTGCCGATAACAAAGGAAAAATACATTTCATTCTCGAAGACTGTTAGATTGACACAAGATAATAATTCGAAAAATTATATTAAATTACGGTTTATCGATTCGTACAAGTTTCTCAGCGCTAGTCTCGACAAATTAGCGTCATTTTTGGATAAAGATAAACTAAAAATTTTACATTCGGAATATCAAAATTTAACTAGTGAAAAATTCAATTTATTGACACGAAAGGGTGTCTTTCCGTACGAATACATTGACTGCGTGGACAGATTACAAGACACACGTTTACCGCCGCGCGACTCATTTTACAGTTCCTTAACCGGCGACACAGTATCCGAGAGTGATTACGCGCACGCCGAGACCGTCTGGAGCCGATTCTCCCTTCGAACGCTAGGCGAATATAGCGATTTATATTTAAAAATTGATGTCTTGTTATTGGCCGATATATTTGAGAATTTTCGCGATAGTTGTATAAAAAGTTACGGACTCGATCCCGCGTATTATTATACTCTCCCCGGATATACATGGGACGCCATGTTAAAACATACGAATATAAAATTTGAATTATTAACAGACATTGACATGGTAATGTTTGTCGAACGAGGTATACGCGGCGGCCTTAGTCAATGTTCAGGCCGATACGCACAGGCTAATAACAAGTACATGCAATCGTACGACCCATCGAAACCCTCATCGTACCTAATGTATTTCGATGTAAATAATTTGTACGGATGGGCAATGTGTCAACCATTGCCATATGCCGATTTTCGGTGGGTCGACGATATATCGAATTTTGACGTATCATCTATCGCGTTCGATTCGCCTATAGGCTATGTTCTCGAAGTAGATTTAGAGTATCCGCGGCATCTTCATGACGCGCACATTGACCTACCGTTTTGCCCGACGCGCGATAAGCCGCCCGGCAAGCGGGAGTATAAACTCCTCGCAACGCTTTACGATAAGAAGCGCTACGTAATACACTATCGTAATCTACAGCAGTGCACGCGCCACGGGCTACGCATAACAAAAATATATCGCATACTACAATTCACGCAGTCAGCGTGGCTTCAAAAATACATCGAACTCAACACACAGTTTAGAACACGAGCGAAAAACGATTTTGAAAAAAATTTATATAAATTGATGAATAATGCGGTATTTGGCAAGACGATGGAAAATGTGCGCAATCATGTGGATGTAAAATTATTAACAAAATGGGACGGACGGTACGGTGCGGAGGCAATGATCGCTAAACCAAATTTTCATAGTACTAGCATATTTTCGGAAAAATTAGTTGCAATTGAATTACGCAAACTCGAAGTTAAAATCTACAAACCAATCTACGTTGGCATGTGCATACTCGACGTATCAAAAGTATGTCTTTATGAATTTCACCACGAATACATGTCACCGCTCTATCGTGACAATTGTAGAGTAATGTACACCGACACGGATAGTTTAATATATCAAATTAAATGTCATGATGTCTATGAAAATTTGAAACGCGATATCGCTCGATTCGATACCAGCGATTACGCCGCGAATAATGCGTACGGTATACCGCTCGCGAATAAAAAGGTGCCGGGTCTGATGAAAGATGAGAATAACGGCGCGATAATGACCGAATTCGTCGGGCTTAGAGCAAAAATGTATGCTTTGCGGGTGGATGGTAAAAAGGACACTAAAAAGGCAAAAGGTGTCAAAAGTAACGTCGTAGCGCGTAGTATAACATTCGACGATTATACGCGTTGCCTTAATGACGAAATTGAAATGACGCGTCAGCAGTCATGCATAAGATCGAAATTGCATAAAGTGTATACCATCAGCGAGACGAAAATTGCTCTAAGTCCTTACGATGACAAACGGTATGTCGTACCTGAGTCGACCGACACCTTGCCGTGGGGACATTATCGAATACCATTGTAAATAAATTATATTGTAAGGACGTATTAATGAGAATTATATATTTTTTGTTATATATTTCATATATTTCATATGTTATACAATATATATTGTTATACAATGATTGAATAAAATACATTAAATAACATTGTTTTTATGTATCCAAGAGTTGTGCGAACTGTCGA